AACACTTTTGAAAAGAGAAAAGCACTTGGATGAATGGAACTAATTTACTGGACTACAGACAACTGTTCTTCTTCTTCTTCTTTTACTATCTTTTTATTCTGTATTTACTACTTATCGATTTTTTGTTGAGACCTTGAATTTTTCTCTCTCTCATCCCAGATAATAATACATTTTTCTTTTACGGTACTGTGCTTTTTTTAGGGGTCTCGAGTACGAAATTGTTTAGATTTATATTTTATGGAATATTTTTTAAATTTATTATATTTAGTAATTTCATTTCTCCGAGTTAGAGAATGAAGTTAATTAAGATAAATCAATGATTGAATATTAGCGATATTATAAAAATAGTTTACTTATAATAATATATAAATATTACAAACTATATTTATAATATTTTTTAATTAAACAACAGAAGTATTCTATACAAAATTGATTTGACCCAATTATCCTTATAAAAAATATAATAAAATAGGAATATAGTTATTAATCAAATTTTCAACAAAATATTAACACATGACTCACCTTAAAATAAGACAAATACGTTGCATGCTATCAAACACTTATAAACTAATCTGTTTTAAATATTAAATTCACTTAAACTCTAACGCAAAAATAACAAATTCCTGATGAAGTAAATAAATCATATCAAATTAGCATTGAATTGAACATGTTATTAGAATCAAACGATTCCTTAGATTTAATACAACATCAAGTCTTCATAATTATGAAATGAAGATTAATAAAGTGTATGCAATGATTCAACTGCTCATGCATCAATACACCCTTTCTCTCTCTCTCTCTCTCTCTTTTTCTTTTTTAGTTATACTTTCGTTATAGACGAAGATGAGCTTCCAAAGATTCAGAAAGGCGGGACTAAATGCGAAAGGAAGAGCCAGTGGAACGAGTCGCACGGAGATCTACCTCGCCCGCGGGATAATCCTCAAAACCCAATTATATTTTACTGCAACTCGACTCCGACTTCAATCCTCTCTTTCTCTCTTTCTTCCTATCTCTATCTCTTTCTCTCTGAACCACAGAGAGGAGAACGAAGACGAACGAGCGTCGTTTAGACGATGAAATACGGATTAGCCGTTATAACTGGAAATTGCCACCCTCAATTCCCTCTCTCTCTCTCTCTCTCTTTTTCTCTCATTCTTCAATCTTCAAGGTTCTCTTCAGCGACCTGAAAATTCGAACCCTTCCATCGTCGTTCCAACGAAAATCAGAAAATCGTCGTTGACGAGCGCGTTCTACTGTACAACCCCTTAACACCTTACAACGGATAGAAATAATGCTTTAGGACTCACGAGCCTTTACTCATAATTAATTCGGTAATTGTGCAGAAAGTCTTTTGAATAGGGAAGAAGAAGAAGAAGAAGAAGGAAGAAAATAGAAAATCATTGATAAGAAAAATTTGGATTCTTCATTTCAGATTTGAACATTTGAAATTGTTGTCATAGGAGTAGTAAGGGTTAACTTTTGTGCATTAAAAATATCAAAACTTCTCGTGATCAATGGCGGATTAAGCGGTTGGGTAAGTCCCCGAAGGGGCTCCGAGGTTTTAAGATTTTTCTTCATTATGATTAGTAGAATATTATGTTTTCTTTTTAATAAATTAAGTCAATGTATTTATGTGCTTATGAAATTTTAGATTATTTTTCTTTATTGTTGATAATTTAATTGATTCCTTTTTTCCTTTTCTAACTTGAATTTAACGGGCCCTAGAAATTTTAATTTTTAGACTTAATCCGTCATTTTTCGCGATCTTTTTACATGCCTTTACGATATCCCTCGTTTGGTGTCTCGAATTCGAGTAGTAGGTTGGAAATGTAAATTTATTGCTTATGCGAAGTTTGCAGTTACTTTCATTCCAACATCCAGACTTGATTTTCTCGAGCGAGTAAATCGAATCGTCTGTTGGTTCTTAATTAATATAGAAGATTTTAACCTAAAAAGTCTCACGCGAGATCGTTGAGTTTCCTTTTTCCGAGTGAATATCTATTCGACGATAGTTTGTTCGTTTGACTTTGATAAACAAAAAGAAAATGTTAGAAAAGGGAGAGTAACGTGCAGCGCGAAAGAAGAAAAATATTTAAAAGAACAAACTTTATCCTTTTTTTTCGATAATATTTCCGAGAGAGTACAACTTTAAAAGAAATATTTTTGATCATAGGAGTATTACAGGAGATTTGTGATGAATAAGTAAAGAGTAGTATACAATTTTTGAATAAAATTCTCGTAGAAAACTGGGTCGGATAATTTTTTTTTTTTTCTTCCTACCTTTCTTTTTTTTCTTTCTTATATTCTTTTTTTCCTATTTTTTTTTTCTTAAGCAATGTCCTAGAGTTGCATGTCGAGCTCTCATCCTACAATCGTCTTCTTCAGAAGCTCGGTTATTAAGAAATTCCCGTCCCTTCTTCACTCATGCCTCAATAACATGGAAATTACTTGTCCTCTCCTTCGAGTCTTCTCGTATACCCTTCAATCTCAAGGGCCGATATGCAGCAATCTTATATATTAAACGCAATTAATCGAGACGGATAAAGGAAGTACTTTGTACGATTTTTGATAAGAAAAATTTTACGTAAATTGCTTTATACACAAGTTATTCGGATTTTTTATTCTGAAATATGAAAAATCCTTTTTTTTTTTTCTTCTCTCAACAATTTTATACTTATTTATATAGCAATTAATTTAAATATAGTTGAAGTAAGTATTTGTATTTAAAATTTTGATGGACGTAATATTATAAACATTATTTTACTTAAGTATTATTCTTGTTTGACATTAAATTGTCAAATCGTTAAACAATCTTTCACATTTAATGCAATTAATTAAAATAGTTATCTATATAATACCTGATTAGAACAATTTTGTAACCATAATTTTGTCTCGAGTATTTACATACTTTATTTTTAAATCGAAACGAAATAACTTTGTTAAAATTAGATTCTTATAATAACAGAATATATATAAAAATGAAATAGTTTAAAGATAATTTAAGAAATTATACGATTTTTAAGATGAACATAATACAGTAAATATTTTTCTACGTTATTACTTAAATTTGATTAACACCTAATCGAAATAATTATATTTTCGCAACGTTATAAATCCTGTCAACGATGAAACTTTTCTCAACAGTTTATGAATCCGTACAAATTGTTGAGAGAATAAGACGGGTCTAATGCTTTCTAATCTTTTGATTTAAAACTTTAATCACGATCTAATTTAATCGAAACTTTTCTCGCACGTCGGCTTCTTGCTAAAGGTGAAGAATCCCAGTAGTTGTAGTAAACCGAGGACGATAAAATGTATGTCAAAGTGAGAAAAAGAGAGAGGGTAAAGGTTAGCAAGAAAAGAGAATAAGAAGAAGAAAAATAAGAAAAATAAGAAGAAGAAGAAGAAGAAGAAGAAGTAGAAGAAGGGGAAGCAAAAGAAAGAAAGAGAGAAAGTGAGAAAAGGACAGAGCATTCTCGAGCGTGCAATTACTTCCCTGTCATTTCGTTATCAAAACGACGCAAGTTGGCCAAGGTGCCTAGCCCTTGGAATGGCCACTACGTCTTCTCTATATCTGCGTTAAGTAGCTAGTTCGCTGACGTTATCGTTTCCAACCGTAATTACAATTCGTTTCCATCTCGACGAAAAGCGCTTCGTTGGCCTGTTAAAAAGAAGCCGCAACCCTCTTTGGTCTTTTTACCCTATCCCGAACTTTGTATTCAACTCCCCCTTCATTTTCATTCGATTCCTTTACGAAGTACTTTTTTTTTCAACCACGTACAAATCATTTCTGATGTTTTTTTTTTTACAACGTTTTTTTCTCCCTTTTATTTTTTATTTCGAATAATAAATTAATCATCGAATTCGTGTGGTTTTTAAATGTATTTTAATGGTTATAATTATTCAATGCAATTTATATGCATTATTAAATGTAATTGTGGTAATTTAATTTGTCATTTAAATCGGGTGCATTATTTTTTGTAGAATTATTATTTTTAATGATTATTATTAGGATTCTTTTCTTTTGTTTTTTTTTTTGAGATTAGTTATATCAAAGGGACATGATTTAAGGAAATAGCAAATTCTATGACAATTATTGTTAATTATATATAAGATTCTTCTATCTTTATCTTTATAATTATAATAATTTCTATAATAAAAATATTCACAAATATCAAAGGATTAATTTAAAGTTGCAATAAACGACGATTATTATCATAAAAATTATTCCTTATATAGAAACCAACAAATCTACTTATTAATTCACTATTATAAATACAATTCTTTAAAATATTAAATATATTTATTAAATACCTAACATAATAATATATTCGCAAAATTTTAAATATCAAAGAATTGATTTAACAAAACATCAAATAATCAACAGACACAATATTAAAATGAAATCCTTTGACTCAACAATACAATTAAACAAAAAAAAGCAGCAACAAAAAAAAGGTTACCAAATGATTTAAAGAATCCTAAAAATGAATTAATTGCAATTACTTGAGAGATGTAAATCTTTTTATAGATTTTCTCAAGTGTGTGAATCTTAACGGTTTGAAATGAAATAAGAAAAAAAGAGAGAGAGAGAGAGAGAGAGTGGGATATGGAGTCCCTTAAAAAGTTTCGGTGGTTCTCGCAAAGCGGGGTAGTTGCAAGGAAGGCAGCATTACAACCCTCTGGTACCCGTATTGATCCTGAAGGGGCGCCGCGCGCATAACGTTCACTTCTCGGGCATCTCCGACGATCTTCGTAGAATAACCTCACCCTAGGTTCTCTTATAATGTCTGTATCTTCTCTGCAACCTTGTCGCGGTACTCACCTAATCCGACGCAACGTGTCTTCTTCTTCTTTCAACTTATTCCTAAATTTTCATTTATTTCTTTTCACCCATTTTTTTTTTCTTTATTTTTTCCTCTTATTGTTCTCCTCTTTTATATTTTATTTCATTTTCTTTTTATTATTATTAATACGATATTTGTGCGAAATATTTTGATCGAGATATTTTAAGTGGATTCGTTATTGTACGATATTATTCATCACGCGTGCAATATCGTCTTCGTGTATGATATTTAACGTTAAATTATATATTATAACTATGAATCCTAATTATTTTATTATTTTTTGTCATTGTGTTATTTGATAGAAAATATATCTTAAGTGTAATTATCCTCATTGTTGTATCATTTTATTTATCTTCTTTTTTAATGTTTAAAGGATACGTGATTACGAAGAACAGAGTGATTCGTTATTTGAAAATTAATAATAATCGTTTAATAACGTGAACACAAAAAAGTAACATTTATATTTCCGTGACGTTTTTTCATTTTCTTTTTGTTTTCGTAATCGTTTCGGTGTAAGCACAGTTTTAATCGTTCGGTGAGAAATTATCAAAGACAGAAGAAGAAAGAAAGAGAGAGAGAGAGAACGATCAATTAATGGGAAATTGCTGGGACAAAATAATCTTTGCAATTTAAAGACCAGTACCTACGGCAGACCGCTTAAACTCAACGAGAACTTAACGAGCTTTGATATCTTTCTTTCTCTCTCTCTCTTCCCCTTTTTCTTTCTTCCTTTTTTTATACTTTCTCCATAAGATAACGAGTATTCCAACTGATGATAGGGAAAGAAAGTAAAAGAAAACGAAAGAGAGAGAGAGAGAGAGAGAGAGAGAGAGAGAAAGAAATACTTCGTTCAAATTGGACTTTAATTTGAATTAATATTCTTTTATCGATCTCTCGGGTTAAGGATTGAGGAGGGGTTGAGGGGTTGAGAGTTAAGAGGGGAGAAATTGAGAGAGGAAATAAGATAGATATTAGAAAGTCGAATACGTCGTTAACATTTTTCCATCCTCGTGAATCCTTCTCCTCCTCCTCCTCCCCATCCTTTTCCTCCTACTCTTTCTCCTTCTCCTCCTCATCCTCTTCTTCTCTTTTCAGAGGAATTATATTACATTACCCTCTGAGAGATGAGAATATGAAAAACGCATATAATTGTTTTATTAAAAAGCAACGAGTGGCGGAATGATAATTTTAAAAAAAAAATTACAAAACCCTCCAGACTTAATTTCAAATTACATTACTTTATTATAATTTGTCACGAGATATATGAATTATTGTTTATTAAGTTTTTTAATTGAAATGTAAAAAATAAACAAATTAGAATACATGCTATAACGATTTGATTCTTCAAACTGTCATTCGAATTCTCTAAAGAAAAATTTGTTATATATTATTATTTTCTATGTTTATTATTTCCTAATAAAAAAATACGACAATGATTATTTTATTCGTAAGTATAAGTAAATAAAAAAATGGCATTTGTTTGTTGTCTCGTTGTCGATTTAATTTCAAATTACATTACTTTATTATAATTTGTCACGAGATATATGAATTATTGTTTATTAAGTTTTTTTAATTGAAATGTAAAAAATAAACAAATTAGAATACATGCTATAACGATTTGATTTTTAAAACTGTCATTCGAATTCTCTAAAGAAAAATTCGTTATATATTATTAGTTTCTATTTTTATTATTTCCTAATAAAAAAATACGACAATGATTATTTTATTCGTAAAAATAAGTAAATAAAAAATGGCATTTGTTTGTTTGTCTCGTGTTGTCGACATAATTACGCGTTTCAAATTCTTCGAAATACTCTTACACTTTATTATCTCTCGAATAACTTATTAACAGGAAAAAGTTTTTTTTGTTTACACTTTCGTTGTTTATTGTCTATCCTCCGTAATGTTTACACTTAGTTTTTAACCGCTCGACTTATTTCTTTTACGTTTAGTCTGTTTCCATTAGTCGAACTGTGACAACGATGCAGCACCAACAACTGAATATTTTAAACAACGATGTTCAAATTTTTGCAATTCTGACAAAAGGAGATGATAAAGCAGGTTGAACAGAAATTAATTAAGTAAGATTTATTCTTTGATTATTATATATCTGATAAAGTCAATAAAATTTCGAATTTTTTCGCATGATTTTCTCCAAAAGTAAACATCCATTTATACTTAAACATATATATGATTAATTTTTATTTTAAATTATTTTTTTTTCAGTCCTAATCATTCGAATGAGATAAATACTAGTATTTTTAAAAAAAATATTACGATGATTATATATGAAAGAAAATTTGTTGCATTTTAATGTATCTTTGTTAATTTATACGGGAACGTAATTTCGGATGATATTACAAGTAAGAACAATTATACAATGACGTTGAAATCTCATTTACAATTAACTATAGACGATAGCAACTCCGAAAGTTTTGAATTTGCAGAAGGTTATTAACTTTATTCATTGTTGCTGTTATAATCAATTACTGTTCGTGAATATGCAACAGTTTGCGTAGCTACATTCAAATCGTTTGCTTCTTCTTATCGCTGAACACGCTATAGTTAATTAATTTTTTTACTTCCTGTAAAAATTTACATTTATTTCTTTTTTCTTTTTTTTTCTTCTTTTTTTTTCTTTTTTTTTTCTTTTTTTTTGACTAAATGAAATTAGTTTCTCTTTTTGATATTTTTATTTACTGAAAAATGGCTAAGAAGTTTCGTTAATTAGAATGAATTAGAATTTCTTTTAAATTAATCAGTGAAACAAAAAAATTGTCACGTAGTTTATTAACATTTATTTATTAGTCTACTTTTTTAACAAACGTTAAGTAGCATATAAAAAAGTTGGTGAAGTTTTTATTTAGAATAAAAATTAAGCGTATGCAGAAATTTTCATAAAAAGCTTCATTCATTAAAATAATCACTTTTATAATCTCATTCTACAACAAGATACGAATTTGTAAATTACATGTAATATAAAAATAAAATTATGCGAGAGAGAGACAGAGAGAGTACTTTTATGGTTACTTAAAAACATTTATGCACTAACATACTTTATTTATATATTAAAAATATTTTTATTGATTTCTTACGAAATTTTTCGTATATTATTTTCTACAAATGAAACAATTTACAATAGTTAATAAAATAATAAAATATTTACAACATTGATCAAAATCAAATCATTTGTTTTGCAAAGATACTTGTAATACTGATCAAAGATTGAAATGATATAGTACAATGATTTCTAACCTTTTTTAATTTTCTGCATCCTTGATGAATCCTAATGTTTCCAATATACTCTATGTCAAATTTTAACAAGTACACTTTACGAAATAGCAGATCATTTGTTGCAAAGATTAGATCAAAATAATAATAAAAAAAAGCACTTTGTAAATCACTGAGAAAATATAATTAAATAAAATCCTACTACTCGAGGTATATTTTTCTAAATGGTCAAATTTAATTGAACCACACTCGTTTCCATCTTAACGTTGATTCATGCACAATACTAACATTTTATCATAGCAATTACCGAAAACCGTGTTTTCTATAAATAAAAAGTCGCGAATAAAATTACAGTGATGAAAATTCTATACATTTTTTGTTAACACCCCCTGTGAAGATATCACTGTGCACACTTTGTGAACCACTGTGTTAGGATGCGAAGAATGCGAGACTTCGAATAGAATAATGGAAGATATCGTAATCATATTTTGACGGGATGTGACGAAAAAATGTTTCTTTTTTTAATTTTTAAACGATAAAGCTCTCTCATTTGGAACCATTTTGTTATCTGAATTTAGTACGGAATTTTCAGAAATGTGTTTATCATGACTGTGTACACCAATGACTATTAATAAAGCTAAAAATAAAAATGTGAGGTTAGGGGAACATCCTTCGAGATAAATTTTCTATTTCATTTATATATTGCATAACATTTTATGAAAAAAAAATTAACAACATAGAAAATTGTCAAACGAATCGATTTTAAGATAATTAACAAATATTTTGCATGAATATATATCAGGGATTTAATTGATATTGATAAATAATTTGAAAATAAGTCAATGAAAAGTCAACGATTCATTTTTAATCATAGAATTACTATGACAAATCTAAATCAAATTTCTTTTATTACTTTTATTTTAAATGAAAAAAAAAAAAAAGAAAATGTATAAACCTAAAAATAGGATGAATAGTGGTTTATTTTCGTTGCATGAGATATTTTATCAATAATTGAATATTTTCACCAGTCCTAGTAACTTCGTTTGAAGTTTATACAATTTTTATTATCGAGAATATCGGTTTTTAAATATCGTCATTCAAAATTTGTCTAGCGCACCTGTTCGTATAGAATAATAACGAGAAAAAACTGTTTACGTCGGGTATCAGCTGAGCGCGTAAATATCAAGAAGAAAATCTAGGTCATTGGTTCAAGGTTCTTGTAAAAAAATATTATGCAAGAGTACGGATCAACGTAAACACATTTCGTTCGCATGAAAACATTTCGGCACTTTCGAATATTAGAAAAACAAAGAGGACTTTCTAAACAGAAAATTCTTCTCTCATTTTATATATTATTAATATAATATTTAATTTCGTCAACAAGAAATTTAATTACTTTTTTTTTTTACGAGCTAACTTTACCCAAAATTATTTTTTGACTAAATAATTAAATCAATATGATATAAAAAAAAAATAAATAAATTAAAATTAATCATATAAGTATTATCCAATAATTAAAAATAAAAAAGCTTTAAAATAAAAGTTATCTAAAATAAAATATAATATGTATAAACGTATTTGAAACGTAATTGTATTTTTTCTAATAATTCAACGCACACACACAAAACACACAGAGAGATACACATATATTTTACTGTGCAATATCGTTGAAAGAAGAATCGTATTTGGAAGCGTTTCAAACATTGCGTCTGGAGAATCGTTTCGAAATGTTTCTCAAGCACATTTTTTTTCGCTTGCAAGAGTACGAAAAAAAAAAAAAAAGAGATAGATAGAAACATAGAGACAGAAACATTCATGCATACAATCAGACAGACAGACAGACAGAAAGAGAAAGAGAGAGAGAGAGAAGGCTCGACAATTTGGCCGAGAAAGTGTAGATTTGAAAACCCTTTTCATCGTTTCGCTAGCCAAAAAATAAAATATATAGGAAAGAGAGAGAGAGAGAGAGATAGGGTAAAGATCTAATAAAATGCAAGAGAGAGAAAAAAAAAATAAAAAGAGAAAGAGAGAGATAGAACTAGTCAATTCGAATGGACAACGAATGGGCCGCATTAAAGGTTTCACGAATAATCAGTGAAAATAGTGCACTCTGGGAACGGAAGTACCGGCCGCTTCCGGAGCCGGGAAATAGGAAAAAAATTCGGGTCGAGAGGGTGGTTCCCTCTCCTCCTTCTCTCTTTCGGCGGCGTCATTCGTTTGCAATTTTTTTTTTCTCCCCTTTCTGTGCGCATCACAGCAGTAACCGCAGAAGTGGAAACGGCCGAGGGGTTGGAAATGTTAAAAAGAAAGGAAAGAAAAAAATGGGGAGGATGAGTAGGAGGGGGTGTAAAAAAAAAAAAAGGAATAAAAAATGAGAAGTCGACCCACATTTTCCTAGCAATGCCAAATATAAGTCGATTCTCTCTCTCTCTCTCTCTCTTTCTCTTTCTCTTTCGTTTTTCCTAGTCTGCCACTACTCGTACGAACACGGAACCCATTTTAATGGTTGACCCACACAAAAGATAGCAGAACTACCGAAACGTTTCGCAATTTCGTTTACAGCATGGGATCGGCTACATACGGGAGCTGGCTGGCCACTACTCGCCATTGGCTCAAATTTTTTTTTTTGTTCTTTCTTCTCAATCTTCTCTCTCTCTTTCCTACTATGTGGGCGATATACCACTCGATCCTCGGATCCTCGCTTTTTTATATCGTCCTATTTTTTATATATACCATACCACCTACCCCCCCTTCGTTTGAAAAAATAAACTCGCCTATGTTTAAAATGTATTTCCAAGGTATACTCTCTCTCTCTCTCTCTCTCTCTCTCTCTCTCTCTCTCTCTCTCTCTCTCTCTCACGGTCTCTCGTGGGAGGCATTGGTAGTGCACTACCCAGGAATATATGAAATCGATGGAAATGCATGGGATTTCCCCAATACAAAAAAATATTCTATATTTGGGACCTTAGCAATATGATCGTTATCAGATCTGGGTAAATATATAATATATGTATTGAAAGATATATAATACAAATGTGTTACACAACAGTATTTAAATATTTTGTAAGAAGTTTTAATTAAAAACAAATGTAGTAAAGATTAATTGACCCCATTAATAATAGAATAATAATTATTGTTTAAACTAATAGAACCTTGATTGGATTTACGTATTATACCAATAGAAATTCATTTTTATAAGAAAAATAGTAATAGTTTAATAAAACACAAGGACAAGAATTAAATTAATAGTAAAGGTGGAAAAATGATTTTGTTTACATTCTGGAACAAAATCTAATACTTAATTACAAATGTAATTACAATTAAAAGACACAATTTACTAATATTTAACTGTAACCATTGACGAGGAAAAGATTAGTAAGTGAAATACGTTAAACTCAAGATGATTTTGATTTGTTACATTGATAGAGAAACCTTAGTACGTAGAATGAATAGTGTATCTCGTATTTGGATTTCGATCTTGTTCGTCAAGACAATTTCAATCTCTTTGTAACTTTCTCTGAAACTAACGGCTCAGCATTCAACAATTCGGTACCCAGTTCCGGTACTTAGAGAGAAACAGCTGGGTTGAAAGATAGAAGCACGAGGATAGCTAACCCCTCTCTCTCTTTCTTCATCTACCTACCTACTATCCTACTAACCATCCTACCCCTTCCTTCCTTCCTTCCTTCCTTCCAACCAAACCCAACCCAACCCAACCCCATCTTTCCTTTCTCGCCCAACAAACGTTATTACTTTCCTTTAAGCAATCCTCTCCTCTCTTTCCAGACCTATCTCTTCACTCACACCTAGAAACGCCACCGCTGCTTTCAATAAACCAGCCACGACTTAATGGGCGGTTTATGCAAATTTTCATCCTTGCCTGCTTGCCTACCTTCCTGCCTGCTTACCTGACTGCTTGCTTGCTTGCCTGTTTGCAGTCCTATAAGGTCGACCTTACCCTGCGTCTCTCTTATTTTTATTCTTTCTCTTTTAACACTCAACACTTCTTTCATTTGAATCATCTTCACGCATTTATCCAAGTGAAAGTAAGATTTTCTTTATGATTTGTCTTATCATTTTAACGTTAAATTCTGTTCTGATATCGTTGCCAAGTTCGAGCCTATTGACCTTATTTATTTTTTTTTTCTCTTCAAGATTTTATGATGTAAATCAGTGGACCATAATAAGTTTAACGGGTTGAGTTAATTTATTTGCATTGGATTGAGATATTAGGATTTTTGTTTGTTTTAATTAATATAATTTATTATACAGATGTACTTATTTTGTTGATATTCTTAACTTGTGTTAGAATTAGTTTGTATATTTTTATAGATTTCTTTTTGGTTAACCATTAAATTACTAAGATTGTAAACTGTATCATTTGATCACACATGATAATACTAAGATTTTTATTCATTGCATTTCTTTCCATCATTTATTTAACATTTCAAATATCTTACTTATTTCTTTTTTTCTTAATTTTAAGATATCTCTTTATATTTTCATAAAAATATAATACTATTTCTTGTTGTACCACTTTGTTACTGGGGTTATGAACTGCATTTAGTCATGCAGGATAATACTTAAAATTTTATTTCTGTCATTTATTTTTACATTTTTCAAATTTCTTAGTTCCCTATTTTTCACTTTTTCACATATTTCATGTATCTTCATAGTTCCCATTTGATTAACCATTTCGTCATTGTATTAATGAGCTATAGTTTTTAATCATCGCACGGGTTATACTAGTCAATTGATTGCATTCCGTTCCTTCAATCATTTTCCATTGTCATTATTTTTTAATTTCTTCTTTTCTCTTTTTTTTTTTTTTTTGTGTAAGAGTGGTAAAATGGTATTCAATATATATTTGTAAATGTTTCACGACGAACAATTCCGTTACCGTAATTATGAACTAAACTTTTTGATCGTGCACAATACCGAAATACTATTACCAATTGATTGCATATCCCTTCCCGATTTATTTATCACCGTTCTTATTTTTAGTTATAAATCGAATCCCACCTGAAAGAACGAATCTTTATCTGAATATTGATTCCTGATGATGTCATAATTTAACGACGATTCGTTTTAATAAATCCAATTTCCATTTCGTTTCAACGGAATCCGTTTCGTCGTCTCGTTCGAGACGCGATGAGAACAGGAAAAGAAAATAAAAAGGAAAAAAAAGAAGAAGATGGAAAAAGAGAGAAAAAAAAAAGAAGAAAAAAAAAAAGATACAAAAAGAAAAAAGTGAATGAGAGAGAATGAAAAAAAAAAAGGTTAAAAGCTAGAATCGAGTTTATTACGTGACCGAATCGCCCAATCGTTTTCTTCGTGATCGGCCCGATATTTTCATTCGCTTTCCAACGGGAACAAAACTTTTGAAATTAATCGACGAATGTTTGAAAATCAAACCGCTGTTAAGTTCCCTTCATACTCTATTCCGTGTAACGTTTAATAAAAGTGAAAAAAGAAAAAACGGAACAAAAAAAAAAAAGGAGAAAAAAGAACACATTCAATCGCGTTTCATCGAAAAGGAAATAAACTTTAGTCGAATGAACGATACTTCAGTGTTACTCGAATCAGAAAAGTTTCAAAGTTTTGAGAATCTTCTTGTCGTTCGAATCGCAAAAAGAAAGAGAAGTAATTTACAGGTGGTAGCGTAAAACAAACGGTACGATTTTAAAAATTGCCATAACCTCCTTTTGACTAAGTTCTTTTATTTCATTTCATTTCATTTCAATTCTTTCTTTCTTTCTTTCTTTAATTCACGTTTATTATAAGTTTTTTTTTTTCGTATTGAATTCTCGCATCGACAACCAAACGCATCTTGGGCTTTTTCAACAAGATTGAATGTAATTGAGCGTATTCCGAAAAATCAAAGAACCCGAACGAGCTACCCTACTTTTTCTTCCTTCTCTATTTATTTTCTTTTCTTTTTGTTTCTTTTTTTTTAAATCGTAATGGAAATTGCGACCCTATAACCTTTTCTTCTAACGAATAACTAACCTCGTTTGCGAGTCACGCGCCGTTTCTATCGAATAAGAAATCAATGATGTCGATGAGTGGGTAGGGGGAGAGGAAGGGTAGGGAGGTTAGTGAGGGAGTTCGAAAATCAAAAGGAAACCACCTTTTAATTACCGTAAATTAATAAATTTTCTTTTCCGCACGCCTCGTTTGATATTTTCCTTTGATTCGTTCGATCTGCTTCAACCTACCCCTTTGTATTGTCTTTTACTGACGTTTATTAAAGGAAAAAGAAACAAATCTGTCGTAATTAATTTTTATAAAATATTTAAATAGTACACGGAGATCACTTTTTTGATTACATTGCAATTTTTATACGCAATTAATCGGAATTATATATATATATATTATAATTTACGATGAGAAAACGATTAATTTGATTTTTAAATGTTTTCATAATTTTACATTAATACCAAAGTATCGGATAGATGATTAATTTTTTTTAGATTAAAAATGAATGATCAAAATCAGTAAAACTACAAATTCAAAAAACTCGAGCTACCTAACTTTTTTTAAAAAAGTATAACTCGTAGAATGATCAAAAAATAATACAATTAACGAACAACTAAATTGTACACACCAAACAAAACATCTATACAAAATATATAGAATATTTTTAAAAACAATAGATCACAAAAGACATTTGAAAAAATAATTAATAAATAAAATACCTCTAAACAATAAATCTATTCAGCTATCCTCGTGAATAGTCTAAACAAACAAATTAGAATTGATAATCAATAAACTAACACTAAACCTACCAATACTTCAATTCTACTTTTAGTGATCAATTGATCGCTTAAAACAAAAACTCATATATCAAAATATAGAATAAAGTTATAATCAACTGAATGACAAACATAACATTATCTTTTACATACAAATTAATAATATTCATTTCATGCAGTTTTTCTGCATTCTTACACATTACAGGACAAACATTATTAGTCCTTACGTGATATGTTTAGTGTTAATCATTAACCAGTTAACTGTGTCGATCATTTTGCAAAGTGCGCCCAAGTGTGTGTCGCGATAATCAACCGATGACGGATATAGTCGTCAAACACAGAGTAAGTGGCGCTGTTGAAATATTCGGTCAAAAAGACAACTTTATTTTAGAAAATGAATGAATTTATGAGTAATATTTAAACAATGGATCAACGTAAAGCTATATTTACACATAATTAACGAAAAACTTAAAAAAAATCAAATATTTAATAAACAAACAAACAAACAACATTTTTTTTTTTTTTTCTTTGGTTAGACATCGCGGACATCATCGCAGATGAAGAATCTAATATACTTTGTTTTTTTGGTTATGACACGTCAAGATAATAATCGGTATAATCAAAGATCTAGTGTCCAACTCAAATTATCTATAATTTTCATTTGTTTATTTTATTTCGTCCAGACCCCTAAACATTCTAAACATATTAATAATTACGAATATAATTTAATTTTCGTCAGAATTACAATTTCAATATCAAGTTGTATCAAAATTTTACGCATGACGGATATAGCCGTCAAAACACAAAATTCTGCCATTCTTACATGACGGATATAGTCGTCAAACACACTTAACTGGTTAAAGATACACATCAACTAAGATACATTACATATATTACAAAGTAGAAACAAAAGAAAAATTATAAAAAGATAGAAAGAAGAAGAAGAGGTAAGAGATCCGAAGAAGTTAGAATTTCCGAGTGGAAACGCATACCACATGGGCGCCATGAGGAATGTTCGCCAATTTCCGAGTCTGGCCTATCGTGGCACGTGATATCACAGGGAATTGTCCCATCCATCGTGTTCGAACAACTCTACTCTCTAGCTTGCTAAAGCTCAAGTCACACCAACACGATCGCAGTCACTTATCAAAGAGTCAGAGGCTTCCGGTTCCGTTGACTTATCTATGCTTTGCGTTAATATTCTCTTTCTCTCTCTCTCTCTCTCTCTCTCTCACATTCTTCTATCCGTTTTCTTCTTTCACTTCTTCTTCCTTGTCTGTCTGTCTGTCTATCCGTCTGTCCGTATGTCTGTCCATCATTCTACTTTCCTTATCTTCCCATCCTTTTTTTGCTTTTTATAATTTCGTTCTATTTTTTTCTTCTTCTTCTTTTTGTTTTGTGTGTGTTAATCTTTTTTCTTCTATTTTAATCAGTCTTTCTAATTTCTATCTTTTTCTTCTCGTTTTTTTCCGGTAATTATTTTCCTTTACTTTTACTTTGATTTTATTTATTTTCCCTAATTTCTTTCTAATTTCTTTTCATTGCTCTGTGTTTCCTATTATCTTCTTTTTCTCTGTTATTTCTTTTCTTTTTTCTTTATATTTTCTAACTTCTTACTCTCTTTCTTTATTTTCTGTAACTTTGTTACTTCAATTTTCCTTGATTTTCTAATTTATTTTTTTATATTACAATTTTTATCTCTCCTTTATTCAATCTTTTTCTATTCCTTAATTTTACTACAATTTTTCCTATTTAGTTTCTATATTATTTAGTGTTTTTAATATTCTTTTAATTCTTTCTTAAATCCTTTTTAGTAAAGATTTCTCTTCTTGGTCTTTTTTAGGTAAAAGTAAAGAAGGTTTTTTTTCGAGTTGGTAACACTGCAAGAATGGATATCCTCGTCAACCCTCTCACGCTATCTTATCTCGTCACGCTTGCACCTAACTTGATGCAAATCTCTCTGAGGATCATGCGACGCCGGTGCGAGGAACGTTTTACCGAGCTTGGAAAAGGCTTGACACCCTCTTCCACCCCTATTCCCAACTCCCCACTCCTCCCCCCCACCACTTGCAGCGTGAGGATTTTAAATCGACGCTTCCAACTATATCGAATCTACTATTTGCTATCTCCCTACTGCATCTTCTACGACTATCAAACGGAGAATTGATGGATGAATACGCGTTTGGATAAATGTCCTTGCAAATATCGCACCCTTTCTAAGTTATTTTTTTCCCTTCATTTTTTATCCTTCTCCTTCATACTCGTTGATGTATCGACGAGGGAGGTCACTATCGATTACAATTATTCGAGAATAGGGAACATTTTTTGAGATATTCCTGATAATGATCTAGTGAAAATAAAATATTCTTTTTTCTTTCGATCGAATTTTTGGATTAGAAAAAACATATATTTGAAAATAAAGGATCAAGTATTTAATTACTTTTGATAATTATTTCGACGAAGTAAATATATTTCAATTAATATTGCATTAAAGAAATATTCAAAATTATGAAAAGTTTTTCGAGAAGATTAAAAGAAGTAAAAAATATTTCTATATGAAAATTCTATTAGAAAAATGCAACAATTTTTTGTACAAAAGTACAAAATAAAATAAAATGAAATGAAAAATAAATGTAAAGTTCTTTTAAAAAATCTCGAAAGTAATATTATTATATATTAAGAATATAATGAGTAAGAAGAGATTTAACAGAAATAAAAAATGGTTCTTAATCAAAATTGGATTACTCCAATGTATTTATTAATAATAAATTACGAGATATACGCGTAGAGGATAATAAATAAGTAAAAATAGAAGAATATGTTTCGTTCGAAAAGTATGAATTATTTCTTCAAATGAAGAATTCGCGATATAGCAAGCTTATAAAATTTGTCGTAACGCAAGAGCTTGGGTTCCCATGGGAGGCAATATTTCACTTCCATCAAACGAGTGTCGGGCAATATCACGTACTAGTCGTTTCAAGAAAGAAACTTTTATGAAGTAAGATTGGTTGGTGAAAAGATTGTTACCCTTTATAAACAATAACCGACATTTATTTTTCTATTAATTCTTTTTTCCCCCGCCTCGCTTTTTATTTACTTCATATTATAGTTTTTTTTATCTTTTTCAATCGAAACATCAAACATGAAAAATGTAATTGAAAAATAATTTCGTTATTTAATCCATAAGACACGATAACTATTAATATTTTATTAACAATTAACAATAATAATAGATCAATGAATTGTTTCAATTTTTGTTTATTGATGTAACATATTGTGTCGTAACTCAAAGGGGAATTACCCATTTCGTATTGCACCAGAAAAGGATTAGCAAACGCTTAATAATTACTAGATATCCCTAGATAAAATGCGCCATCTACACTACATTGACGCATTGATTAGCGCCAAATTTAACGGTAAAAAAAACAAATTACGTTTCAGAAAGCAAATTAAAACAACTATCATTTCAATAATAGTTAAATAAAATATTTTAAATGTTATTCTCGGGGTTTGAACGAATTTTGAAAGATTTGTTTATGGATAATAAAAATAAGATAAAAATAAAAGAAGAAAAAAATATCGAGAGTAGAAATTTTTTCATGAATTCGATTAAGTCAAACGAGAAAAGGTGTCTGATGGGTGGGATAATATAATCCATGGTTTGAGATAAGGTATTCTATAAGTTATATTCCTCTATCTTCTCGTCGTAAATCAGTCAGTCGGTAATCTCGAAAATTACACGCGCGCACGAAAATAGATCCTTTGAGAGAGATGGAATGCGTGCGCATAGGGTATTTCACACTCAGTGAGGAGGCCTCTTCAATACACACACACACACATATAGAGTTTCTCGATGCAGTCGAACGTTTCTCGACAGACTTTCGGAATTTCTCTCTTGGGAGAGACAACTTCCGGATTCGGTAGCACTTCTACGTGAAAAAGACAAAGAAGAAATCAAAAAAAAAAAATAGAAAAAAGTAACAAAGCAAGTAAAAGAAAAAAGAAAAAGTAATCCGACAACAGAAGAAGTGCGGAAACGACGGAGCCAAGAGTCGCACGTGTCAATGCACGTGGAAGGATCCAAGAAATAAGTCGAACATGAAAATTCTAAGCTTGTATATTTGTGTGTGTGTGTGTGTGTGTGTGTGTGTGTGTGTATATATATATACGTTTGGTTATACGTACGATTAAACGTAGACGGGAGAGACAGTAAAATAGGGTGAAAAAGAAAAGGTGATATACAGGATGTCTTAAAAGTAATAACTTTAACTAGAAAAAAAATATAATTTATATTAAATAAAATTATTATCATATTTAATTTTTTATTTCAAGATATTATATTATATTTAAAATATTGCAAAACAAAATATGATCGAATGATATTTCGAATATTTGTTAAAATTAATTTTCGAATTTTTCGATTCAAGTACGCAGACTTTTGAAATAGCTTATATTATACTAAAGCAAAAAAAAAGGAATTGGGTATCGAATAGAAATGTTTAGAAGTAAGAGAAAGGAGAATTGGTAAATTTAGATACTAAAAAGAGAAATAAGGGAAGAAGGGAAAGGGTTTTAAAGAGAAAAAAGAAAAAGATACTTCAAACCTGCCGTTTTCAAGCTTCATTAGTCGCAACTTTCTTATTCTTTCTTATTCTTTTTTTTTTATCTAACTTTCGGGATGCGTTACTTTCCCTTCTTCTTCTTCTTCTTGCCTTTGGCAATCTACCAGAAGAAAGAGAAGTCTTTGATAAAAAAAAAAAAAGTACCCGTAGTTGTTGTGTAGGACACGCGTACGTGAGTTTCTGCATGCGTGAGTTGGACAAATCGCTTTAAGGTGTGATACGCGAGACTCCAGCAAATTCACTTTTAACTAAATTTATGTTTCTGCCCAACGGCACGAAACTACTCGCATTCGGGGGCTAAGTATTACTCTTTTAAGATTTTTGACGACACTGAATTACGATAAACTTCTGCTGTCCCCATCAAGTTTACAAAAAGACTTTGTCTTCCAAAGTTTCTTTAATTTTATCCAATTGATTTGTTCATGCTTAACTCTGTTAATCGAATATTTTTTATTGCATTGATTTTTCTAACAAATAATATATTTTTTGGTTTTTTAATAAGAACTTTGATCGTGAAGAAAGTGTCGTTAATTGATCTTATTCTTAACATATTTAATTACGAAATAATTCATGATGCATTCATTGATTTTTCTAAAAAATTCTATATTTTTTGTTTTTTTTAATAAGAATTTTTTGTCGTGAACAAAGTGTCGTTAATTGATCTTATTCTTAAAATATTTAATTACGAAATAATTCATGATGCATTCATGAAGTCTCATTGCTTGGTTTTGAAGTCTATGTCCAAATAATTGAATTAAAAAATTGATGTTTTGTTATAATATTTTTATAACTCAAAACAACGATCATTTTAATATAAAAAGTGATACAAAGATATCTTAGATTTCTTTTCAATATGAACTTTATATTCCATCAAAAGAGAGAATGAAAAATAATCCAACGATCTTATATTTAAACACGAACGTATTAAAAGATTTTGATTCATCAAAAAGTTATTTAAATTTGTTGGTATATAGATGCGAGTTTAAAAGTTAAAATACATCGCGTCATTATAAAATGATTATCTGAGTTTGGTGATAAATAACGCGGACGTTAATTGACGGTAATCCTGGGTTACGATCGAATCGTGCTATCCACCTCGTGTCAATTATCGGCCCACGCTCTGGATGTCGAAGCTCGAGAAAGGTCTAGAAACGAATTGACGTAAGATCTTTTTCTTCAACGAACCCTTCTTCGTCCTCGTATTCCCTCAGTCGTACCCTACTTGATTCGAGATCTCTTGGAAGATTTTACCAGTTGAGAGAAGTTCTTGGGCGTTCACATTGGGTATCTTCGTTGTTAGTTATAAGAGATAATCGATTGAAAGAAACGAAGATTGCGTAGTACAACTAGACCTTTAGTCGAGTCAAGAATTAAAGAGAGGGAAAGAGAGAGAGAGAGAGAGAGAGAGAGATTATCACGTGTGTATGTATGTTTGTTTGTGGTATGTGTTGTACAGTGATTCCCAAAAATTTTGATCGACACTGAAGTATAATCAACTTTGTATCGTTTCGTATTTTAAATTGTTTAAGAAGCAATCAATGTGATTATTGTTTTTTTGTAATAATTCATTTAGGTATCTTGATAAACGTGTATAGTTTATTTTACTAGTTTATATATATTGTATGATAACAATTATTATTCGTGTCACGTTTTTGATTGAATTTTCAGTCACTCCAGTATGACTTTATATTTCTGTTGTTTTGAATTTTATTAACCAGGTTATTGTTTTAAGTTATGGTTTATTTATTAATCTTGATAAACGTATAAAATTTATTTTTAACAATTAACGTATGTGTTATATAATAATAATTATTTAACGAAATAATGTCACATTTTTAGGAAATTGTTTATTCATCACTTATTTAATGTAATTTAATATTTTCTAAATAAATTTATAATAATTCCTAGCGTAATTATTTTGTTTAAGAACATGTTTTAATAAAAAAAACTTTGCAGAATACTTTTACTTATTGTTGTTTTTGTTTTGTAAAAATACTTCAAAGTAAATTATTATTATTTTTAAGTAAAGATTCTTGATTATAATATTGTTAATGAATATCATAAAAAAATTGTGAGATTACGTCTTAATTCTGTTACGTATTTTATAAATGAATGATACAAATCATACATATTTACCAAAATTAATAAATGAGCTATTACAAAAAAAAGAAAACTTAACCAGGATTATTTATAAACGTCGAAAATATGAAATGAAAAATCGAGTTAAATCGTTGAAAATATTTTTGTGAGTAACTGTATGTGTGTTAAAAGATATCTTAAATCGATGATGCACCGGCACCTGCGAAGAAGAGATTCATGATGAATGGCGGCGGCAATATAATTTGAAGACTCCTGCATGTGTCGGCAAATTACTTTCGATCTTGAAAGGAAAGGAAAGAAATTCTAACGTACGATATAAGGGCCGAGAATGAAAATTAGAAAAAATAGATAAGAAGAGAAAAAAGAAGGAAGAAGAAAAAGAAAGAAAGAAACAAGAAGTATAACTATGTAAGAACGTAAAGAAAGTAGCATAATGGCGTAACCTAACCTCTTTAGTATTCATACTACCTGAATAATGTAGGGATTAAATTATTGGTCTTGATCGGTGCATGCGTGCGTTAAATTCATGCCGATCTCGTCAATGCGTCTACTTTATTGAAAGCAAAGGCTCGTTAATTTATGAAAGGTGTATATATGTATGTGTGTATGTGTGTGTGTGTGTGTGTGTGA